TAAGAGTGTATTCCTTTGCTTACCTTGGTTATGGTTTTATGTTCCGTTTCTATCGGTTTCCTGAAAGTTTTCTTATTACGGAACACGGTTCCTGGAAAATTCGGATATAACTGTCACCAAACTAACCAGTGCCAGAAGCGTTTTTCTGGTTTTGTTTGTCAATCAATGTCTTTTATGTGACAGAAATCAAGCAAATATTGGAAGTTCGAGTGAAATTCTCATTTAATTTGTAATAATATTTTGTATTTACATCCAAAAGCAATGGAGGTAGGCAGTAAAGGTAAATAAATTTCATTAACTAAATAGAACGACTTTTTAGGACCATTAAAACATATCATGCAGCCATTGTTTCTTAAAGTCAGGAACATTTAAAGAAAACATGAAAAACAAGACAACAAGTAATCGTGAATGTTTTGTAAACTATATAAAAATATAAATATTGCAAAGTGCCAGAGTGGTGCGACCCCAAATACAAAATAGAAATAAATTAAATTATAAAATAAACGGAATTAAAAAAATTAAAATTATATAAAAAAGTGAAAATATAATTTTATCAGGGATGAGCGGAGATAAGCAGAGAGGCATAATGAAACAGTGTAAAAACCGGAACAGCAACCAATGACGGGCATATCAGAAGAACAAGATCTCACAAATCAGTCGAAGAAATTATAATATTTACGAATTGTATATTGTAAAACATTTGCTGCATTTGTATGGTTCATAGTTTATTTGCCAAAGTATTTATTACTATAAATAGGTATATATTATATTGTATTTATTAACTATATATTATATATATTTCATGTAAACTATATCATTTTTAAAATACAAACCAAAAATACGATGAATAATTATGTTTTCCATGTATTCTACAACATATTTATTAATCCGTAGTATCTAACTAGCATGACGTCATAAATCTCGCTCCGTGGCTGTTTTATTAGAGACGGCATTAGTCTAATATTTAGAAATGTCAAAAGCTGATGACATTTTACTTTTGTCAATTATGACATTTCTGGTTGATTTTTGCAAGAAGAGGAAGAACTAACTGTCACTTGTTTTATTATTTTCCTTTTCTATTTCACGAAAGTAAAAAGTGTTACTTATCTGATTCGTTCAGGCACTCAATTTAAAGAATATCAGTAACTTTTTTGATAGAGGGATTTTATATTTGCCGTGTTAGTAAAAAATAACGGTCAAAATTCAAAGTTATTCATTTTATAGACTATACTTCCTCTGAATTGTAACGTTTCCCTTTCTCAGAATCTATTTGTAGACATCTTCCCTTCTCAAAATCCCTATCTGACCACTCCGTCAATTTCTTTTCTTTTCATTAAACACTAAGCCTACTTTTTGCCCTTGATCTTCTAGTCTTTTGCTCACCGATATCAGCTCTTTCCGATCTCTTGCTAAATAACTAAATCCTCTTTGGTGTCTTTTTGTATACAGAAAAAATATTTTAAAAAGACTTAATACCTTCATATTTCTAAAATCAGCAACTTAATAGCGAATTCATTAACTTGCTCACACATATCATGTACCTAATCTTACTCTGTTTATACATTATTGCATCTTAAACTACCCTTCCATCCATCCAGGCAACTACCCCCTACGATCCAGAGCCGACAGAGAGCACACACAAGCCACCAGCGGCGCACACACCTGTAGGGCGGACATGAAAAATTCAGGGTGCTAACTTACATACATATATGAAATATCCATATCGGTCTGGCTGTGTAGGGCCGCGCGGCCCGCTACCCTTGTCCAGACAGAGACGGGATTATAGAGGGTCGTATTGAGAGGGAGGAAGAGAGAGATAGGGAAGGAGAGAGCGTATGCCTCTATATCCAGAATCGAGAGGCGCAAGCGTTTCTATGTAAGAGTCGGTTTGTGGGTCGACGTTGCCAGGTTTTTAAATTTGTTTTTATTAGGGGTTATTTGAATAGTAGTCTGATTCTGGCACAGAATTGGTAAAACTTTTGAATAACAAGATATTAAAGAATTTTAATTTTTATGTATTTTATGGGAAACAGTGGCGGCTCGTAAATTGAAAGAGCGCGGACACAGCTTCGACAAGAAAAGAACTGTCTACTACTGTATGATTGAAAAAAAAACGGCGTCAAGGACGGTTAGGGAGTAAGGCTAAAAAATTACTTACATGTGGAAGTAATTTTCTAACAGTAAACAAGAATTTTTGAAACTATTTATATTAATTATAGTTTTAGTTATTTCGTTTAAAAAAATATTTTTTAAAAAAGTCAAACTAAAATAAAAAAAAATATCAAATAAATTATAACTAATATACCAAAATAAGAATCATTGGTAATTTTTTTGTCCTGTTTTGGATTTCAATATAATTTTCTTTATTTCTTTATTGTTAGAAATGAAATAGGTTAGGAAATACAGAAAAAGTACGAAAAGAAATATTTTGTGAGCGAAGTACAGAGTGGGTCAAATTGGACGCTTTAAAGGAAAATACCTTTTTCTATAGGAGATAGACGAAACCTAATATCGGTGTCTGGAGCTCAATTTTTACCAAAAACGTGATGGTAAAAACCGCACATCGATATCTGTTCCAGTTTCCGAGTTACGAAGTGTTTTTAAAAAATGTGCATTTTAAACAAATTACTGTAACTTTTTTGCTATGGAAAATTATGTATTTTTATGAAAACATTTCCAAAGCACTTTTTTCCGTAGAATTTAATGGTTTAAGTATAAATTTTTTAAAATTAATAATTTAAAAATTATCAACAGAAAATTTAATTTTTTATATGGGATACCCTGTATATTTTTAATTCATTAAAAAGAATTCAAAATTACCTTTCCAAAAATATAGCGCACTTGATATTCTACTCGATTCCTCTTCGAGATACAGAGTTTATAAAAATTCGCTTAAATATGCTTTGAACGGTTCCGGCTGTAATGCAAAAAAAATTCTAGCTGTGAGCAGCAATTAAAACGAAAATAATATTTGCAATGAGTGATGCAAAATTTTATAACAATTTAAGCTATATTTAATAACATCAACAAATTTAAACTATATCTAATAACAATAATGAAAGTAAATAGCAAACCAAGACATGAGATTTTGCTACAGATGTTCGGCATATCGACTTAATATAGTCTTCTGTTATGGACAGACGGGACCGTTTTTGAACATTCCTCGAGGAATTTATTAACTCACTGGGGGTGAAAGATACCCTCGCATAACCGTTAAGTATTTCAAATTCTTATCTATACGGGCAATTTTAAAATAAGAACCTTTATTCTTCCGCAAAGATAAAAATCCATAGGCACTAAGTCCAGCGTCCACGACGGCCAACGGCTGGGATCTTGGATAGATATTCAACCTTTAGCTCGTCTTCCTGGAAAAATATGTCTTCGAGTTACATTAGGGGCAGATTCGAGGGAAGATCATCAATAAGGTAGCCAAAGCCTACTAGTTAAAGTTACTACTAACTTTTAAAAATTCTGTATTTCGAAGGGGACTATAACAAAATATTAAGTGTGCTATATTTTTGGAAAGGTAATTTTATGTTATTTTCAGTTAATTAAAAATATACAGGGTGTCCCAAATAAAAAGCCAATTTTTCTGTTGATATCTCTTAAATTATTAATTTAAAAAAATACTTAAACACTCCGTAACTCCTGAACATTGTGTTATGCGATTTAAGATTTACTTGCGGTCAGAAAAATGTCCATAAACCTTAGGTCCCGATGGAAAATATTTATTTGCCACCTTTACACATCAAACTAGAGTTGATCAAACAGTTTGTGAAAAAAATGGACAAGACACGTGACGCATTTCAATCCTTGAATACTTAATTTTCTCGCCTTAGTGAAGCTAAAATCAAGAAAGAAGTTTTTGTGGGTCCCCAGATCATCAAATATAGTGAAATTCGAAAAGTGATAAAAAATATGATAAAAATAGAAATAGACTCCCCCAAAAATGGGCACCTACCCCAGTATCCTTCAGGCAGAAATTTACGCTATCGAAAGATGCGTACCATTTATCTTAGATAGGAACTATCGAAAACAGAAAATTGCCATCCTATCCGACAGTCAAGCAGCACTTAACGAGATCAACTCAGTAACCATCAATTCGAAGTTGGTCAAAGAATGCCTAGAGAAGCTCAACAAATTAGGCAAAGAAAATAAAGTCCTCCTACTCTGGGTGCCTGCTCATCAAGGGATATAAGGCAATGAAAAAGCAAATGATCTAGCTAGGAAAGGTGCGAACACTCCACTAACTGGACCAGAACCGTTCTGTTTTCCAAACGGGAACCAATTGAAAGCGGAAGTGAAGAATCTGGAAGACTCCATCCGTAACTTGGAATGGGTGTCCTCCAACGGTCTAAGACACTCGAAAAAGTTCCTCAAAACTTACGACCGAGAAAAATCAAAGGTTTTCTTTGATTTAAGTAAAAACAATCTTCGAATTGTCACAGGGTTTCTAACAGGACAAACAATTATTATTTAACAGTATCCTCAACGAACACCTCAGTAGGCTGAAGCTGAGAAACAACGACGAATGCAGATTCTGTGGGGAAAATGGGGAAACACCAGAACACCTTATCGAGGATGGAGAGCTGGCCTCTGTGGAGCCGTCTCAGATACTGGCTTTTGTTAAAGCTCTGAGACTGTATGATTAGTTATAACTCGTTATAACTCAAGAAAGGAGAGCACACAATAGATTTGTAATGTCGCGGTGATTAACTCCCCTCCTAAATATTCCACATCTCCCAAAAATGGTAGATGGTAGAAGAAAATGGGAGCTATATTTGGATTCAGAACGTCAGAATCAACAGGAATGGTGTCAAGGCTTGAGAAAAAAATTGTTTTTGGAACCAGTTTATTAGCCCTATGCCAATTGAGTCCATAGAGCTTTTAAGCTCAGCCAAATTTCCCCAAACATCTCCACTAACCCTCCGAGTTGGCATCGCCGTTCCCGAATGATTATTATGTCGGACTCGGCCGCAGGAATCAGTTCGAAACCGGCCGCCAGGTGGGGAGTATGTCGTTTCTGCTGCGGCAGCATCGTTCGACGTGAGCCGCGCGCGGTACGATATCGGCAGGAATCGCGCTAAATGACTTGGATTTTGTTGTGGTGAAAACTTTGAGGGTGATTTGTTGTAAAAGTAGATTGGCTGTTTGGATTTGCATTGTTTTGATGGTCGTCGAATCGAAATATCAGATGAGGTATAGAGAAAATTGATGAATATTTTATTATTGACAGGTGTATTTTTGTTATAAAGTGCAATAGTAAATTAAATGGCATTCGAATATAACCTTTTTTGATAATTGAAAAATCATGATTTTTTTACAAAAATTATTGATTTTTTTTTGAAAAAAGTGTTTTTTCAAACCGTGTTTATAAGTATAAAATATTTTCTAAGTTGGTGTAAATAATGTAGAGCTACAGAGTAAATAAAGATAGGTAATTAAAGGACAGTTAACTTTCCGTTACTGGCGCCTTCTTTGTCCACGCATGTACTTACTTGGGGTATTATTTTATGCCCCAATTAATTTTTGGCGAGAAACATGATAAAAAATAATAATTAGGATAACTTATGAGTAATTATGTAAAAAAACATCTATTTATATAAATTTTAACAATTATTTTAGACATAGACAAACTTGGTCTTAGAAAAAAACGTCTAAATTAAAACTAAATATTAATTGCCTGAATTTTTGGATTCAGAAACTATTTTGACCTTATTTACTAAGCCACTGTTAATGGATTTTAGATATCCATTCAGTGCTCTTGGGGTATTCCATGATTTTATGATTCCTGATTTCTGGAGCAAAAATATCACCTTCCTTTGTCAGTTTTGGGCCTTTTTTTTGCATGTACTTTAGTAGATATTGTTGGTTCCTCGACATCAAAAAGAAGTATTTTTAAATTTTAATGATGTGATTGCTATCATGATCAGTTACCACACACCTACGGACCTACGGTTAAAGAATACAAGAAGCGACATATAATTTTGACATTCTCTCACCAAGATATCTAACTAAAACAACCGTGGGGGGTATTAAAATCAAAGACATTATAAATAAAAATATATGAAATGAACAAAGTTCTTACAGCTTTAGTGTATATTAATAAATAATATTTTCTTGCCTTTAGCTGTGTATTTTTTCTAATTTCGAAAAAGCGAAAGTAGAGAAAAAAATTTAAAAAAATAAAAAGTAAAAGAAAATTTAAAAAAAAATTATTTTTATTTTTTTTTTAATTTTTTCTCTACTTTCGATTTTTCGAAAAATACACTAAAGCTGTAAGAATTTTGTTCATTTCATATATTTGAGCGGGCCGAAAAACGCTCTTTACCATCTTTTGACGGGAGATGCACTAATATCTCACCGACACTTTACGACATCGTCTGTTGATATAGAAGAAGTTTTGCTTGCCGTATCGGTGAGAACCAGCCCCTGGACAGCCCACGATGAAGGATTTGCCCAGAAACCGATTGTGGGAGTGGGGTTTGGTTGGTTAACTGTCAAACGTGACGTTTTAGAATTATACACCAAATTTTTTCACCTACCGCAGGATATAATCATTTCTAGATATACATGCATAAAAAGACTAGAAAATATATTTCATAATTATTTATTTATATTTTTAATTATAAATATATATACTATTTAAATCCCTCTAGTTTTATAAAAAATTATATATATATATATATATATATATATATATATATATATATATATAACTATATATATATATAAATATATTCTTGACCAACTGAGCTTTCTGTAAAAAGTTAATAACATAGGCATTACAGCATGCTTTCATAATTTTCTATTAAAATTCGAACAATTTTCTTTTCAGTGTGAAATTATTGTTCAAGGCGCACGGATGTCAAACGTGACGTCACGCAATTAGTTCCCATTTGAAACAATATCATTCAAAAGCTTAAGCTGTCGCTTCTTAATATTGGTGTATATTCTGTAGCATATCGGTGAGAACCAGCCCCTGGAAAGCCCAACCTGATGAAGGGTAAGGCCCAGTAAAACCGGTTGGGAGTGGAGCTTGAATTCCCCCTTAATTACAAGCAAAACAATTTTCTTGACTTTCTTTTCATAATCAATCTTTTATTTTTTTAATTGAAAATAAAAATAATATTTCATAATTATCCATTTTCTTTTAATTTATTAATACAAACTATCATGATTGTAAATCCTTCTATGTTTTTAAATTTCAAAATAATTTTAGGTAATGGCATAATTAATGAATATTTTTCTAAAATGCATTGAATGTTAAAGGTTTTTCTGTTTTGCGAGGATTACGCCATATAAATTTTCTTTTTTCAAACTCACATTGCACACAAGGTACGATTGTTTATTGATATGTAAATTAATATAAAGTTAATAATTATCTCCATATTGTAGCCTTGAAGAAGAAAATAAAGATTTTCAAAGCTTGGCAGTTGTAATAAATGAGTTTTCAAAATTTTGCCCTTACGACAGGCTGTTACCCCAATTCAAAATTCTGGTTCTATATATATATATATATATATATATAGCATATATATATATATAGAAGAGTTATATATATATATATATATATATATATATATATATATACTGCTTCGCTATATATATATATATATATATATTTATATGATATTGTATTTATATATAAAGTTGTGTAATTATATATATATTACATATATATATACTATAAATATATATATATATATATATATATATATATATATATATAACTATATATATATATATATATATATATATATATATATATATATATATATATTATATCGGTTCGAGTCGGTTCGAGTCGGTGGAGAGATGGCATCGGAAAACGTCTTCCGATGCCATCTCTCCATGCACCGTCTCCGAGAGATCTTTCCTCCATAAACGTGTCAATCCCTTCCTGCCAACTTCTTCTCGGTCTACCCGGTTTTCTTCTTCCTGCAGGTTTCCAATTTATAATTTGCTTTGGGATTCTTATTTCTGCCATTCTTTGGACATGCCCGTACCATATGAGTTGACTGTTCTTTATGTCGTCCACTATCGTATGTTTAACTTCCATAATCTCTCTTATGCGTTCATTAGTTATTCGCTCGAGTCTTGATTTGCCTGATCTTCTCCAAAAATCCATCTCTGTAGCTTCCAGCGTTCGTTTTGTTGTTTCCTTAATTGGCCAGACTTCACAGCTGTACGTGGTTATAGTCTTTATGATGGTATTGTATATTAGAGTTTTGTTCTTGTTGTTTATGCTTCTGTCCCACAGTATCCCATTCAATACCGTGATAGCATTCCTTCCAAGTTGGTAATGTGATATTTTAAGCTTAAAATTTTTTACTAGCAGACCTTGCAGTCAAACATTGTTCTTTTTAGAACCTCTTTTAGTGCGAAGTGGTACAAAATAGCGGTAAAAAACTCATCGCAACTTTATTAGAATATTTTGAACGGGAAAGCAGTATTTTTATCATTTTTTTTCAAAAAACTCCAATTTTCAATTATTTTTTGCAAAAAAAGCCTCATAATCGTGTTTCTGAAGTCGAAATATTCTACCCCTGAAAATATTTGCACTTATTTAGAGTGAATTAAAAATGACTCAATTATAATTTTGGCACTGCATAATATTCGCCATCATTATTATAATATCGCTAAATTAATAATTAAATAAAGCTCATTCATAACGGCAGATTGATTCGCTCTGCTTTTTCTACTATCACTATTATGAATAATTCTTTTTCGAAATGTTAATTAGCGCACTAAAACCAGAGAGCGACTCGAAATGAAATGCTAATGAGACAATTTCATCGGCAAAAACAATTTAATTTCCATTCATATTATTATTATTTTACGTTCTGACAGATTGAATTAATAAATTATGAAGATTAATAATTCAATTTTAATTTAGAGCCAAATTAGGTTTTGAGCCAGAGCGCTAGCTGGCTTAACCAAAAAAGCATTAGAGTTATAATTAATAATATTTAATTTACCTGTGCCGCAGTATAACAGTTTTTAGTGCGATTAGGAAAATATGTTTTTATTCACAATCATATAATACTAATAATGGTAGTTTTATCCATTCACATGAAGCATTTAAAGAGATATTTTATCCACTAGTAGCATAAATAGTCATTTTTTATGCAAGACGATAAAATAGTATTATATCGTCGACCGAAAAGATTAATTCACGAGCGATTTCATCGCTCGTGAATTAATTTCGGCAGACGATAATGCAATTTTATCGTCGTGTATAAAACAATATTTTTTCCATAGCGAGTTACGTTTTAAAAAATATCCAGAAATTATTATTTCAAGGAATATAATATGAGTAGAAAAAATATTGTGCTGGATTAGCGTTGGTTTCGATGTAATTTGAGAAATAAATAAAGCGGTCTCTTTAGTTGTCAGTTTTGAGTCAATATTTTTTAATTTTCTTTCGTGTTGATTGCTGATTGAATTGGAGCCAGAAATGGCTCAAAACGAAATAAGTAAATTACCAACAGATATTCAGGCTGAGGCGACAAACGCCATATCCAAACTACTTCCGTTTAAATCCCGAATAACTTATGAAAAGGAATACAAAAATTTTCAAAAATGGAAGCAATTAAAAAACGTGCCAGAAGAAATAAAGTTTTTAACCTATCCTCGCTGTTAAACTATCATTTAATCTATCCTTGCGGTTAAAGTACTATTTTATCTACTATTTTTGATAGATATAAGGCAATTTTAACAGTTGCTATGGAAAAAATAACATTATTCCACTTGTCGTAAGTCTACATTTTAGTAATGTTTTCTAGATTTCGCAGGCAGTAAATAGGTACTTGCTTCTTGCCTGAGTTTTCGCAAAAATTGCTGCAGGAATTTATCATTTTCTTGCATTTTCTGATGTTTTTAACCCTTTATAGGTTGATGGTCGCTAAATCGACCACTTTAATTTAACCAACTAATCAGTCTTGTGGAAGTGAATTATCGCCCAGTTTGTTTGTTATGATTATTTCTACACGCGCTTTTACCATTTAATCAACCCATCTATACGTTGGCCGAATTGGCACGAAAAGTTAACGTAAACGGTTGAATATTCGACCAGTACACATGGTGACACTGAGTTCGCTGTGTGTCATATAGGTAATAATTATCGTCTAAGCATTTTCTATGCAAATTTCGTGTGATAAAAATTTAATAATATGTAAACAAATGTATCTATGACG